ACTCAAAAGGCTGAGGCAGGAGGATCACTTGAGCCCAGGAGTTTGAGGTTGCAGGGAGTGATGATGATGCCACTGTACTCTACCCAGGGTGACAGAACAAGACCCTATCTCAAAAAAATAAATAAATAAAAATAAAAATGCTACTCCAGTGAACACAAAAATAAAAAAGCGAAATACAAGACAAGAGAACAGAATGATGGTTATCAGAGGCTGGGAAAGGTAGCAGGGAGGGGAGGATAAAGTGGGAATGGTTAACGGGAGCAAAAATATAGTTAGATAGATAGAATGAACAACAAAGTGACTATAATCAACAGTAAGTTATGGAATATTTTAAAACAACTAAAACAGTGAATTTTGGAATGTTCCTAACACAAAGAAATGACAAATGCTTTAGGTTATAGATACCCTGATTTGATTAATATACATTGTATGCCTGTATCAAAACATCACATGCACCCTATATTAACCATTATGTACCCATAATAACAAAAAATAATTTAAATTAAAAGAAAACAAGGAAGCCAAACAATCTTATTACTGAGATGGAGAAAGTTTTAGTGGTCTAAATGGGGGGGGGGGGGAATCAAAATAGCCACAACATTCCCTTAAGCCAAAGTCTAATCCAGAGCAAAGCCTTAACTCTCTTCAATTCTAGGGAGGCTCAGAGAGGTGACGAAGCTGCAGAAGAAAAATCTGAAGTTAGCAGAGGTTGGTTCATGAGTTTTAAGGAAAGACGCCATCTCAATAGCATAACTTCACAACATAAAAGTATAAGGTGAAGCAGCAAGTACTGACGTAGAAGCTGCAGCAAGTTTTCCAGAAGATCTAGCTAAGATCATTGATGAAGGTGGCTATACTACACTGATTTTCCATGTAGATGAAAACAGCCTTCTACTGAAAGAAGATTCTATCTAGGACTTTCCTAGCTAGAGAGGAGAAGTCAATGCCTGCTTTCAAAACTTCAAAAGACAGGCTGAACTCTCTTGTTAGCGGCAAATGCAGCTGGTGACTTTAAGTTGAAGTCAGTGCTCATTTACCATCCCGAAAAATTCTAGGGCCCTTTAAGAATTATGCTAAGTCTACTCTGCCTGTACTCTATAAATGGAACAACAAAGCCTGGATGACAGCACATCTACTTACAGCATGGTTTACTGAATAATTTAAGCCCACTGTTGAGACCTACTGTTCAGAAAAAAAAGATTCCTTTCAAAATATTAGTGCTCACTGACAACGTATCTCATCATTCAAGAGCTCTGATGGAGATGTACAAGGAGATCAATGCTAACACAATGTCTATTTTGTAGCCCATGGATTAAGGAGTAATTTTGACTTTCAAGACTTATTATTTAAGAAATACATTTTGTAAGGCTACAGCTGCCATAGAGGGTGACACCTCTGAAGGGTCTGGGCCAAGGGTGGGGAACCTGCGGCCTTGAGGTCACGTGTGGCCTTCTAGATCCTTAAGTGTGTCTTTTGACTGAATCCAAAATTTTGCAGAACAAATCCTTTTATTAAAAGGTGGCACTTAAGGATCTAGAAGGCCACAGGTCTCCCACCCTGGTCTGGGCAAAGTAAGTAAAACAGCCTCTGGAAAGGATTCACCATTCTAAATGCCATTAAGAACATTTGTGATTCATGGGAGAAGGTCAAAATATCAACATTAACAGGAGTTTGGAAGAAGTCAATTCCAACCCTGATGGATGACTTCGAGGGGTCAAGACTTCAGTGGATAAAGTAATGCAGATGTGGTAGAAATAGCAAGAACTAGATTTAGAGCCTAAAGATGTGACTGAATCACTGCAATCTCATGATCAAGCATTAATGAATAAGGAGTTGCTTCTTATGGATGAGCAAAGAAAGTGGGCAAAGCAACTTCCTGGGCTAAGTAATAAATTACTAGGTATGAAATCCCTTCTGGAATTGTGTTCCATAGAAACAATTTCAAAAGTAGACACAAACTGCTAAATTATAAAAGCTTACGACAAACAGATAAAGGCTCACAGCTGTTGGCATAAATACTGAAAACCAAATGCTCACAGGGAGACAGAGCATTGTGCTCCTTCAGAGACATAAGACGGGGTCATGAAAGGGTACCCCAACCCCTGGGCATGCTGAGGTCCCCCATTCAGAAGCCTCTTTTCACCCAGCCTCTACCTTATTTGTCCTCAGACACACCAAAAGGAACTGTTCCTTGGAGAGAGCACAATCAGTAACCAGGGATTTGGAGTATGTTAGACCTCACCTAGCTTTTTAATTTTCTAGGGGAGTAATCTGATGAACCTCAATTTCCTTATCTGTAAAGTAAAATGGAGATTGTCACAAACCAGTTAATGTTACTAAATAAAAGGACAGTGTCTGAAAAAGTGAAATGAAAAAGGAATTGTTCAAGTAAGGCAAATAAAAATCCCAACTCAAATCTTTCAGCACACTGAAAGAACCTAAAAGAAGCCTACTCTAAAGAACACTGAGCTGGAAGGCAGAAATTCTGGATTCCATTTTGGCTTCACTGCAATCAGCTCCATGACTCTGGGCACATTATTTCATGTATGTGAGTTCTAGTTTTAAGATCTACAAAATCAGAGGACTGAAAATCCCTTCTGCCTGTACCATACTATGACTAAATTATTAGGGATGCCATTCACTGTTACACTTCCAAAACTTTTGAAAATTTTTCATTTAAATGTTTGGTTTTTGTACCTTTAGGTCCTGATCAGTTTTCATTATGACTGAGCTGCCAGTCACAGTATCAAAAACTGTTTCCTTAACTAACTTGTCTAAGGTCAGATTGCTAAAAAGTAGCAGAATCAGAATTCAAAACCACATCTGTCTAGAAAGATCAAACTCCATGGCCTCCTCCTCTGTTCTCAGACCTTCTTCCTGACCAATCTGGTACCTAGCAGTTTGCCTCCGCAGAATAACCAGAAGTCATCAGAAGTGTACTCAATGGAACAGAATCAAGTTACCTGAGTCAGGTGGGGCTTGAACTTCTGACACAGAACTCTAACCCAATTAATTAATTAGACATTTCATCTACTTAAAAGGAGGCTGGAGAAACAAAAAGAAAGGTACGTAAAATTATAAAGAAAAACTATTGATTGACAACAAAAACAAAAATAAAGCACTTCTGAAATTGCAAGTAAACAGGACAGTTCATATATTTTCAGGAGGTAAAGTTGCATAAAATGAAATATTCAATAAAATAACTGCTAGATTATCTGTAATTCATATTTGCAAATAATTAAGAACACAAATAACGCTAGGTTACCCATAGTAGTAAATGGAGGAGTAACAGATAATTCGAAGTATGTATATCTGGCTTTAGAAATAAAGTATATGATCTAAAGAGATAATCCAAAATAATGAACATCTGGTGTTAAAAATAAAGTATATAATCATCTATATACAGTTACCTCCCAAATTATAGCTTGATTCGGGCTAATCTCAAGATTAATTTTTAAGTGCTACGAGAGTCCAAGACAGTCTGAGAGACCAAGACTTCTAAAAGATATAGTGAATAAAATCATCACTTCCTCATATCAGTAGAGAATGTTTTATAACACATTCATATCAGTTCTATAAGGAATAACAAAACTAAGGCACAGAAAAAAGTAACATTTAAATTCCTACTGTACACCAGAACCCAGTTAGCTCCCTGCTGTTTCCATTAAACAATCTAGGGTTAAAAACTGCTTCTGACTAATCCATGTAGGGATAATCAAGAGGTAAATACACGCACACAAACACATAAACTCACACTTACATGCCTGGGTCACCAAGCACTTACAAAATAAAAAAATTTCATAAGACATAATAGAAAATGGAGCAAGAGGTGAAGTCACCTACCACTTTAGTTCTATTTGAAAGAAGTCATTATGTGCTCTCCCCAAACATTAGGCAGCCTCCAAAACGAACACATACACACCTCAATCTGGAATTGTCATTCAGTAGGGTACCTAGGAAAACCTTTGAAATGTGTTTTATCAGCTCAGAGAAAATCAGACTATACACAACACCACAAAACATCAAATAAATGGAAAAGTATAAAGAAAATAACACATCTAAAATTAAGAACTAGATGTAGAATTTTTTTCTGAATACAAATTGTCTAAGAGCTGATTTCCAAGAGCCTTTGCAATTAAACATCAAGATCAAAATTCTTAAGTCTACGCCTCACTTGCTGAAACCAGCTACCTGCATTTCTACTAGGCTGTGACCAACTTTTGTGCTCCCCACATTAGCGCTACACCAGTTATGCATCCCGCTGATAAAACTGGACCGCGGCACTTAATACACCAAACCAGAATCACCAACGTTAGCTAAAGAACTCTCCCGTCACTACTGTGATGCCCACTCCAGAAGGTTATCTGCATTTAGCGTGAAGGCTTGAGGTTTAGGCAGAAGAGCGCAGTTAACAGATGCCGTCTGTATACACGGTGGTCAGCCCCCACACTGTAAGGAAGGCAATGCGCCTTGCAGGCTCAGGAGGAAGTTGACCAGCCCAGGGGAAAGCTCTATGCCCTCCTCTGTGAAAGGAGCGTGTAGTTGGTAGAACCAAAAGTAAACACGGAAAAATTCATTCAAGAATTTCCTGAAGGCCTACCGTGCAGGCGTAGGAGGCAAGTTAAGACACTGGGAGGCAGGTAACGAAAAGAGACCAGAGTTCACAGACAGACTGATAATGATCTACCAGCTCCGGTGGGGGCCCCAACCAAGGGCCGCTCGTGCCTCCTCTGCAGAGCTGGGGAGGAAAGCACCGGGCGGGCTCTGGTCCTCCTCCAGCGGCCCTTTCCAGCAGGCCTGGGGCTAAGACCCAGGCCTGGCGTTCAGCAACAGAGCTCTCTTCCACATGGTTGCTGGAGAGCGACCCTCCAGGCCGCCCAGAGGCCATGTGGCTGGGGCCGCAGGCTGCCCAAACCCGGTGCACGTTCAAGACAAGAAACCAGAGCAGGGAAGGTGCCGGAGGAAATCCAAAGAATGGGATGTTGGGGTACAAGACTCACTTCCTTTGGGCTTTGTCCTTCTTGGCCTTGGTCCTTTTCTTTCGGGCCTGGAGCGCAAGCACTGCAGGAGAGAGGGATGGATGAAGGGCGAATGTGGAGGAAAGGAGGCGAGCAAGGTGAGGGTGGAGACCCAGCAGGGGCGCCAGGCCCGGCTGTGGGGCCTGCCCGAGGGGCAGCCGCGGGGCGAGCGCCGTGGGTCCGGCGAGGCGGCCGGCTGGGGGGCTGGCGGCCCATGGGGCTACGAGCAGCGCCCAGGCGGGAGGCGCCGGAGGGGGCTCGGGCCGGGTCAGGGGGCGGACGGGCGGGAGTCTGCTTCGCCCGCCGAAGGCCGGGCCCTGGAGTGGCCCCGAGGCGCGAGCCGGCCCGGCGGGGAACAAGGGGCGGTGACCGCCGGCGCCGGGGGACGGGGGGCTGAGGGGCGCGGACCGGCAGCCCAGAGGCGCGGGGTGAGGGGCGGCGCCACCTCACTGGAGGGGCGCCGCACGCCCGGGGACCGGACGGCGGCGGTTGGGCAAAGCTCCCGGCGCTGACCCGGCCTCGCCCCGGCGGCCGTTGCCCCTCGTGGCGGAGGCCGCTCCACTGCTCACCTTTCCGCTCCATGGTGAGACCGGTAACCGCCAGGCGCCTGCGCACTCGAGTGGCTGCGACTCCGGCTCCCGCCGCGGCCCAAAACCGAGCCCGCGCTCACCCCGCCCCCAGTTCCCGCCCCGCCCCCGCCCCACGACGCCGCGCGCCTGCGCGCTGAGCGCGGAGTCTACCACCTGCTCCCGAGTCGGGAGCGGGAGGAACCGGAGGGCAGCGGAGAGAGCGGCCAAAGGGGTTTTAAGATGCAAGTTTGGAAGGCTGGCGGGGTTAGTTTTGTTCCAGTTGCTGGACGGTAGTCCCTCAGGAAAGGCGCAGAGCGCGGTGTCTAGGGCTTCCTGCGTGCTGAGTCAGAGCTCCGGAATCAGCTGGGATCTGCCTCAGTTTCCTGGTCTATAAAATGGATTAACCTGGCATGTCTCGTTTCTTTCCCTGAGCTATTGTGAGGACCAATTGGGATCCTATTTAAAGAAAAGCTGGGGGAGGATTACATCTGAAAAAGAAAAGGAAGTGAGAGCAACACAAAAAAACTGGAAGAAAGGAACCTGAAGCCCGATCAGCACTTTAAAAGTAAAAACTTCAAAATTGAATTTTCTCTTAAAATTTCAAGTTTAAATGAAAGCTGTAAAGGAAAGAAAGGAAAGGGAGGAAAAAACGGTTAGTGTTTTCTCATTTTGCCACTTTATATTTTCAATACATGATAAAGTTGTCTCTGTGGGGTATTTTGATACTTTTGTAAGTGCGTTATCTCATTTGATGTTCAGGACAACTTAAAGGCAAGATAGTTATTACCTCATTACACAAATAAACTAAAACTTGGAGGGGATATATACTCAGCATCTTGGTGTACCGACCCAGTGATTCAGTCATCAAGCCCTTGTTGTGTAGCAGAGTCAGCAAAGTTTTTATGTAAAGGGCTGTGTAGTAAATATTTAGGTTTTGTAGACCATAAGATCTCTTTCTCAATTACTCTGACATCGAAGCTCAAAAGCAGTCACAGAAACTATGGGCTATCTGTGTTCCTTTAAAGATTTATTTATGGGCACTGAAATTTAATTTTTTTTTTTTTTATAGAGATAGGGTCTTGCTCAGTCACCCAGGCTTCCGTGCATGGAATTTAGTGGTGTATTAATACCTCACTGTAACCCAGAACTTCCGGCCTCAAGCATCCTCTCACCTCAGCTTTCCAAAGCGCTGGGATTACAGGCATGAGCTACTGTGCCGGCTTGAAATTTAAATTTCATATAATTTTCATGTGTCATGAAATATTTTTCTTTTGATCTTTTTTTCAACCATTCTTAGCTCAGACCCTAGTTTGCTAACCCCTGTTGCAAAGCACTTGCAGCTGGACAGGGCAGAAGCTCTGAAGACCCTTGCTCTAAAAGTGGGACTTCACTGGGGAAGACAGACAAATACTCAGTTGACTGGAAAGGGAATATGAGAATGCAATAGTGCAGCACCGTGGGGGCTTGGGCAGGACTTTTTTTTTTTTAAATGGAACGCTTCACGAATTTGTGTGTCATCCTTGCGCAGGGGCCATAGCTAATCTCTATATCGTTCCAATTTTGGTGTATGTGCTGACAAAGTGAACACAGGCAAGACTTATTGAGCAAAGTAAGTAATTATGTTCAGCCAGGGAGGAGGCAGCTTTTGAGCTGGGTCTTGGGAAATGTGTAGGATTTCCATAGGTGGAGAAGGGAGATGTCAGGCATTCCTGAATGAGAAAATCAATTGAGCAAAAAGGCATATTCATGGAGACTTGTGGGTGGGGGCTGGGATTGGAGCTGGTAAGGATTGAAGGGACGAAATGGAAGGTGAGGCTGGAAAGGTAGGTTTGCCATATTTGAAATTTAGATAATTAATATCTGTTGCATGGAACCTGAATGATAGCATGCTTCTGAGCATGTTGCTAAAGAGGACAGCACCTGTTGGCCAAGGAAGACTGCAGCCCAGTCTCTTTCCTGCTCTAAGCTAGAAAACAAAAGGAGAGTGGGACAGACAGTGAAGCCTTTGAGCCTGAGGATTGTACTAGCTCAGAAAAACCACATGTGGTTTAGAAAAGACAGGAGAGAGCTGGTGGCTAGGAAGAATCCCAGAATTGGGGAAGTACTGCCCTCCAGAAAGTAAACCCTATGAGGGTAGGGACCCTGGCTAGGTTTTCCTTGGTGGATTCTCAGTGCCTACAGTGTCTGGGACTTAGCAGGTGTTCAAATATTTGCCTAATAAAAGAAGAAATGACCTGTAATTTATGAGAAACGTCAGGATGAGAAAGAGAAAACAGACAATATGAGAGCTAAATCCAAATGGATTACTGCAGATCCGTCAAAAAGGAAATATGTTCAGCATGGCATGATGCGGTCATACCTCTTTTGACTCTGAGTGACTATTGCTTCTCTAAGAGCTTACTAACCATCTGTTGAATAACTTATTTGAGAATTTTCCCAGAATCAATGTTAAGCTCACTGGACTGAGTTCCTAGAATTGACCATTTCTCCTGTTTTTCATCTGTTTTTATCCATTCTCCCATCATACTTAGGTTTTCCATACTTTTTCTAAGATCTCTACTATTGTTCATATAAGTAAGTTTGTTTTTCCCCCCAAATTCACAAAGCTTGGCCTATTCTGGACTATACGCTTCCAGAAATTATTCTTAAAAGTAGTAGCTATTCTTTGGTATTCATTCTTACATACTCACTCCTCCCCCAGCTGTTTTCTAAAAGTCTTTTTTTTTTTTTTTTTAAAGACAAGGTCTCACCCTGTTAGTCAGGCTAGAGTACAGTGGCAAGATCATATAGCACACTGCAGCCTTGAACTCCTAGGCTCAAGCAATCCTCCCACCTCAGCTTCCCAAGTAGCTGGGACTACAGGTGTGCACCACCATGCCTGGCATACTTTTCTTATATTTTTTGTAGAGATCAGATCTCACTATGTTGCCCAGGCTGGTCTTGAACTCCCGGCATCAAGTCATCCTCCTGCCTCAGCCTCTCAAAGTGCTGGCATTAGAAGCGTGAGCCACCACATCCAGCCCCACAAGTCCATCTAAAAGTGGAATTATTCAGAAAGCCTGAGATATTGTATTTATGGCTGCTCATGCTCATTTATTCAGTGCCAGAATTTAATTTCTGAAAAGATCTCATTCCTCTTGAGGTAACTTACTTTGTCTTTTTAAAACCAAACAATGCTGAAAAACAACTTACTTAGGCCGGTGCAGTGGCTCACACCTGTAATCCTAGCACTGTGGGAGGCCACGGTGGGAGGATCACTTGAGCTCAGGAGTTGGAGACCAGCCAGAGCAAGAGCAAGACCCCGTCTCCAAAAACAAACAAACAACCGAAACTTACTTTTTAAACTTCCCTGGGATCTTCCCTAATGCTTCCTTGACATGCTTGAAATCTGAATGTCTGCAATTGAGTTCACATGCTTCCTTACACTCTACATTCTCTGCCTTGATCATCACAAACTGTTATGCTCTGTCCAAAGTTTTGATCTGAATTAAATCCAAAGAAGCACATCCCTTTATGGCTTCCTCTACGTCCTGTGAGATGAAATGGACAACAGGAGAAAGTGAAAATATATCAGATGCTTTATTTTGAATGATTTAAGATTTCCGTGGATCTTAAATTCCACTGATTGAAAAAAAAAAAAAAAAGATTTCCAGTAGCTGTCTGCATAGTTGGGAAACCCCAACAGAACTTTCTCTTGCCTTTTTGGAACATGGTTTTGTGAAGTGTATCAGGAAAATATATGTGAGGTGTGAGTATCAGGAAAACATGGCGCATTCAAAAGGATAATTGAAAAGAATTCATGAACGATGGAGGTGTGGATAGAGGTAAAGGAAACCAACATGGGATGGGGCGGCACCCAGGGCCTGGAGTTTTACCACCCATAGGCCTGAAGGGACAAGGGGAGGGAGGCGTTACCAGAACCCAGTGAGAGCTTGTACTAGCGTGGCAGGGCTGCCGTGATAAAGTATTAATATCACGAACTGGGGGGCTTGAACAACAGAAATTTATGGTGTCACCAGCTAGAAGTCTGAAATCAAGATGTTGGCAGGGTTGGTTCCTTCTTAGGGCTGTGGGGAAGAATCTGTTTCAGGCCTCTCTCCTTGCCCTATAGACGGCCATCTTCGCCCTGTCTCTTCACATCACCTTTCCTCTGTATGTGTGTCTCTCTATGTCCAAATATTCCCCTTTTATAAGGACACTGGTCACACTGGATAAGGTAGACAAGAGCTTGTCCTAATAACTCATTTTAACTTAATTACCTCTGCTAAGACCGTGTCTCCAAGTAAGGACACGTTCTGAGGTACTGGGGGTTAGGACTCCAGCATCTCTTTCTGGGTGGCGGGGGACGGGGCGGAGGACACGATTCAACCCATGACAGAGCTGTAGCAGTGAGGAAGGCCCTGCGGACTAGCTGTGCACTTTGATGAGCCCTGCTTGGAGAGAGCAGGGAAATAAAGTCCCAACATCCTCCTCTCATCTTCTCAGGCTAGTGCCTCCCATTTTTTTTTTTATTTCAGCGTATTATGGGGGTACAGATGTTTAGGTTAGGTATGTTGCCCTTGCGCCCCCCACCCAAGTCTGAGCTTCAAGCGTGTCCATCCCCCAGATGGTGCGCATCGCACTCTTTGTGTATTAGTGCCTCCCATTGACAAACCCAGCTGGAAGTTAGATGACAAAGAGGCCGCCCAGGACACAGAGCAGGGAGGAGAAGGGCGGGAGGGTGGATCTGGAGGGCTGCAGTGAGAATATCCAGCACAGCCTGTCTGGGCAGTGGATACACCCAAAGCAGCTAGCGCTTTCCAAGCAGGTAAGTCCACCTGCTGGGCTCCCTGATCCCTGGAGAAGCTTGAGAACCAAAGCTGCTTGGAGGTAACCCCCTTTCTGGCTTCGTTCCATAGAAGCTTAAGTTTCACAGGGAAATTGTGCTTGGGCAAAAGGTTGGGGGGAATAGGTGGAGGAAGTAAATGAACAAAGCCTTGGCTTGGTAGGGTGGGAAGAGAGAAAGTAGCTAGG